TCCACAGAAGAAGAAACACATGAAGTGATGTTCACCTCATAAGTGACTAAAAAGATGCAAACCATGGAAAAACTTAAATGTCATTGATATACATCTGGATGACCAACATTAAAAAACTGCTAGCACTGAATGTTAAGGAAAACAAGGTTCCACTGGTGTGAGGAGTATAAATTGGTGAATCCACCTTGGAAAAAGACTTGATATTACCTTTTAAAATTGAAAATTAACCTATAACTCAGTAATTCCAATTCAAGCTATGTACCTAAAAGAAACAATTGCACATATAAAAGTTGATGCCAACAATATAATATAACAGTATAAAACATTTTATAAAGATAAAAACCCTAAATTAGTATTTACATTTTAGGAAAATATATTAGGTATATTAAAACTGAATAAAATCAAGGAAATGATGAACTTGAGATTTCGGAAGATAGTTACTACAGGAGGGAGAAAAGAAGGAAATTGATGCAGGAATGTTTCCAAAGACTCAGGCTTTGTTTTTAGAGGGAGAGTTCACATGTGCTTATTACATTAATGAAGATAATTGTGTAATTAACAAACGAATTGAAAATTGACCCTCTGTGGATGAATGTAATTGTGACATTAGTCAAGTGATTAACTTTGCACTCCAAATTTAATAGCTAAATTACATCAGAATTCCCTTTCACAGAAGGTGCTCCCTTCTATTTGAGAATATTTTTAATATGTAATTAACATCAACATGATGGATTAGTAATTGTCAAGGAAATGAAAGATATGACTAAATTACTCTAGCTTAGAAATGAATAGGAATTTAGTAGTAGGAAAAACTATAGGAAAGAGAGAAGATGTCATTATTCAGACATAGGTTTTTAGTGTTTTTATAATTTAAACTTTTTCTTCCTAAAATGTCGTAAAAATGTGCCAGATTCACAAATGCCTCCTGTCACTTGGTTTCTCTATGAAAATAAGAAAAGAGATACAGTTCCACGTCTATCTGACATGGTACAAAACAGGTTGAGTGAATGAATAGCAAAGCAAACTATAATCTGAAGTTCTCCATTGGTGACAGAACAAGAATCAGGAAATGACGCTTGAAAACTCACCTCAGGGAATTTAAAAATAACATGATTATGACAAGGGCTTCCCAGAACAATGGAAAGGTTTTCCAAATAATGTTATTTATCCACCTTCAATTTTCTTTTATATACTATAGATTAAATTAGAATAGGCATAAAAGTAGCATATACTCCTCAAGACTCAGTAGTTTTCCAAAATTGCTGCTTGTTCGTAATCTATAAATTATATATATTTATAACATAAACTATAATTCACAATTTATACTTCTGTCCCATTGTAAGCCTGATTTCTAAGAACACATTCTTATATATGTTTTACATGGAAGCCATGCCTTTGATGATTAGTGCCTTCTTGTATGTACCAGACAGGCAGAAAAAAAAAGTCAAGGCATTTTCATTTCAGAAACTCCTTAACTTACTATAATTTCTCCATAGAATTCCCTCATATTTCTCTACAAATGTAGGTTAATGTTATTTTCAAGATATTAAAATAAGAAAATATTTTTAAGATACTAAATATTTCCAAATGGGTAAAAAATTTATAAGGTCAGCAGAAAACTTATGAAATATTCTCATTTTCTTAATCTCTTTGAGATTTCTCAAAGTATCTTCTTTCCCTTTGTTCCTTTTATTTCACTACTTATAAAAATAAATATTCATAATGGATACTTAAAAACCCTCATTGCCATTAGTTAATACATAAAGGCACTAGCTCTAGGAGAGGGGTCAATCTGCCACAATCTTTCTCCTTTTGTTGATGCATGTGTATTATAAAAGCCATAGCAAAATTACGCATTGCTCCCAGATTTCAGAAACTTGGGAAAAATATTTATTTGTTGAATTCTCCTTAGCACAGTATGGTATCTATTCTTTGAATTTCTTTTCTTTAAAAATCCTTGATCATCAGAGCAAATAAGCTCATATTTGAATGCAATCATTCATTCTTAGGTATTAAGCATAAAATCCTGGGTAATATAAATTAGCTTAAATGTATCAGTTTAGTGAGTCACAAAATAGTCAAATAACTTTCTCTAAAATTTCTAATCTAGACATCTGTATAACAATATTCTCTCTCCCTATTAATAATTAATATGCACCCCAAACTGTTTCTAAATTTTGGGGTTTTATGGTTCCTATAAGGTATAAAAGACTCATAATTATGTGAATGTATACTTTAAATTAAAGTAAATATATCAATGTCTCCTATTATTTATCTGAAGAATGGAAGAGTTAAATGGATATGGGCAAATATTTTAGCACCCATGATCTATAAGGAACTAAGATGAAGATACTTAATGTATGCTTTCTACCATTAAGAGCTTTATTTACATTCTTAGAATATAAAAAAGAAATGATTTATAATATTTTGTAATGATACTTAAAACATAAAACCACTTTAAATATGTTTTATTAGATGGAACATATGAGAATATTTTGTAGTGACAAAATAAATTTATTTGAAAACCTTTACCATAGAGAATGGTTTACATAGATTACTCATCTGAATTTCAGGCTTTTCATATCTACCAAGTACAAGTTAGTCTATGTCCTCCTCTTAAGTTTAAGGGATTCCAGGTCAGATTCTGCCTTGTCTGCCCCACATGCTCCTGTTCAGGCCTGCAGGTTTTATGAACAGACTTGGAGATAGGATGTGGGTCCTGGCTGGGACACTGGATCATACAGTAGGCATTGTGTTACTCTAGCTTTTATTGTTTAGACATACTATATATAAACCTGCAACTGGATTCTGATCCTGAATCCTTCAAATATCAGTTGCAAGTCTGATATTAAACAGTGTTAGAAATTTTGTCTTTAACCTGAGAACAGGAAGAATCCATTTGAAAGGGTTTAAATAAGATAAAATCAAGTAAAGTAACTACACTGTGATATAATCCACAACTTTACATATTTAACATGTACACTTGATCAATTTTGACATATCAGTGAAACCATTATCATGACCAAGAAAGTGAAGAAAAATGAAGAAGAAATTTTTGCAAAATACATAGCCAACAAATGACTTACCTAAATACACAAAGAACACTTACAATTCAGTAAGAAGAAAACAAACAGCTCAACTAAAGAGAGGCAAAAGATCTCAATAGTCATTTTATCAGAGAACACATCCAAAGGCACAGAAGCACATGAAAAGATGCTCAATATCCTAAGTAACTAGGGAGATGCAGATTTGGATTTTAAAAGGTCACTCAGGCCCTATGTAGTAAAAGGATTGGAGATCAGGAATGGTTGCAAGAACAGTTGAGTTAAAGCAATGGTTGCCTGCATTGAGATGGTGGCTGTGGGTATGGGAGGAAAATGACAATTAGAAAATATTTGAGAAACAAAATGAGATAGGCTTTGACTGTGGGGTTGATTTTGAAGGGTAAAATATCAGAAGTGATTCACAGATTTTTGGCTGGTATAGTCGGGGAGATGATGGTGCCATTCACAAATATACTGCAAATTGGGAGAAGATCAAGCTAGGGGAAATTTACAAATTTATGTTAAATGGGTACCTTTGAGATGCCAAAGTAGAATTGTGTAGTTAGAAATTGGCTAATTGTTCTCAGCCTTGTCTGCTGCATTTGGTGTGGACAGAAGCAGAAACATAGTGGTCTGAGGTTTAAATGGGAAGGGAGAGAGAAGAGCAGGAATTGCCAAGTCAGATTCCCTAGCAATCTCTTTGAGGGGCTAGAAAGTTGTTTTTCATTGGTGGTCTATAATTGCAAAGCAGGAACAATCTCTACGGAAGGGAGATTTCAGAAATATCCTTTAACTACTGTGTTAGGACTTTTAAGGTATTTTGACATTCTTGAGGTACCCTGTGCCTACAAACTGAAGCCAAAACTCTCCTGGTTCCCACTACTCCTCCAGTTCCTGCCTCCTTCATTGTCAGCATGGCTAACACCCAACATGCACACAGATTGTACATGTACATGTGTACATGTACATGTACACAGATGTACACAGATTGTATGTATGTAGATGTGGCCTCAGGAAATCCAAAGGTCCTATAGTGCAGACCATTTAAAATCCTACTAAATGATCTTCTGTCTACTTTTTCCACATAGATTCTATAATCTGTTTAAGAAGGAAGAAAAAGAACACTCTTCTTCTTTTTGTACCTCATTAGTGAATCCTAACCATACTCTTCCATGGGTTCCTTTTTCATCCCACTCTGGTTCTCACATTCTTAGAAAGACAATGAGATCTTTAAATTCACTCAGTGTGTTGAGAAGGGGCCAAAATTTGTCAGCTTCCATTGATACTCAGAGTTGCTTTCAAGCAGAGCTGATCTAGGGAAGGGATTTACATCACCTTCCCTGCCTCTTTCCCCAATTTGACATATTCTAGCCTGCGTTTCCTCTCCTTGTAAGTATAAGGGAAAGTAAATCCCTCTTCAGACTCCTTTGTTTGAAAAGCCTGGCATTTCAGTGTTTTGTTTTTTTTTTTAAGGTGGGGGCTCCTCATTTTTAACTAGCTTTTCCAATAACGGAAATCAATCTGAATGTGCTATTCTGCATCTTTTTCTTTCCTCACAGTTTGAGATTGCCTTTGCCAATTTTTTTTTCCACAGACCCTGAAAGACACTTTCTCATTTTCCCACTCCCTGTCTTTAGCCCAGCTGAATCCCTGCAGAGTTTTCTCAGGCTTAAGGACAGCTGTGTATGGATTGGGAGGAATTTGACCTACTCTGCTAACCCAGTGGCCTGAGCCAATCACAAAGAGGATGAGAACCTTCCTTTCCATCCCCTCCCCCTGTGACAGCCTACTGGAAAGAAGGACCAGTTTGCAATTCAAATCATTGGCTTTTTGCCCACTTCTTTTCCAAATAAGAAGGCAGGAGCTGCTGCTGCAGTGCTGAAGGGTTTTCTAATTTGCAGTAAGACCTGAGATCCTAGTCTCTTACCTGCTTTAGAGGCTAAGGGGAGGGCAAAGATGGTGGAGGCTTTCTGTGCTACCTGGAAGCTCACTGACAGTCAAAATTTTGATGACTACATGAAGGCTTTAGGTAGGTAAAAATAAGACATCCTGTTCTCATTCATCCTGCAGCTTCTGATACTTACAGATCCCTTTCTTCATCTATCAGGTTAGCAAGAGACTGACAAATCATGTTGTCCTAGCTGGATACTAGAGCATGCATTTCCCACTGAATGACTTTTTAATGTAACATTTCCCCGCCTTCTTGCCCAGGGCCAAGTAATGAGGCATTTGGCCTTCTGTAGAGGATGTGATTTTTTTTTTTCCCAGTCTTCAGCTATTTGTGCTCAGTAGTTGCATGGTTAGTGGACTGATAATTAATGATTAATCACGCTTTCATGGAATTTACACTTTAGAACCTGGATTCCAGGACTGGAAAGCAGATTTGTGCTTTAGGGGCTGTTTTGGAAGTTGCTGCTTACAGGTCCTTTTGCTATTTTAGGTGTGGGCTTTGCCACTAGGCAGGTGGGAAATGTGACTAAGCCAACAGTGATCATCAGTCAGGAAGGGGAGAAAGTGGTGGTCAAGACTCAATGCACATTCAAGAACACAGAGATTAGTTTCCGCCTGGGAGAAGAATTTGATGAAACCAGCATAGATGACAGGAACTGTAAGGTAAGAAGAGGCTTCTTCTCAAAAGAAGTGTGGATAGGGTGGGGATAGGGATGAGGGAATTAAAGATTCCCAATCTCTATTTCTTAGAGGTTCAAAAGTGTAGAGTGTTTTCAGAATTTCCATTTAGGGAGAAAGACACCAAAGTTAATATTCTAGCATGCATATGTTATGTTCTGAACAAAGGGAAATTGCTGTTGCTCAAACCTCAACTCTATTAGTCTTTTGCCTTACGTTTTTCACATTTTATATCAAACTTGTATTCCAGAAAGTACTGAATATTCATTTGAAGAAAGATTGTACCTTGTTTGCTCTCTCTAATTGCCTCAGATTAACTAGCTAGTTGTCTTCATTCTAAGACTTTGCTTAAACCAGAAGGGTGACTAATTGAAAGCAATAGTTCAGAATTTTTATTTCTAATATGTGAAGCTTTTGCATCTAGATGTACACATTTCAATCAAATTATAAGTTATTAGGGCTAATGTGATAGTAGATCTGGAAGTAACAGAGGCTAAAGTACTAATAGTTGATATGATGATTTATTCAATTTACAGCTCTTCCAACAGTCAGGTCATGTGGCTTCAAAATCAAAAATTTGACTTGTTGCTATTAATATTCTTTTCATTTTGTTGTTGGTCTCAGTCAGTCATTAGCCTGGATGGAGACAAACTTATTCATGTACAGAAATGGGATGGCAAAGAAACAAATTTGGTACGAGAAATTAAGGATGGCAAAATGATTGTGGTAAGTGACAATTCCTCATTTTCTGTACATGCTTCCTTCTCCTGCTCTTACCCTTCCTCTGCTTCGCTCCCTCCCTTCCTTCCTTCTTTAATAACGTTATGCCACAACCAAGGATGTTTAACAGTGTGTAAAACAGGAGAAATGAAAAGATCTGAGCTAATCATTTCCTCAGCTCAGCTTCTTTGATAGCAGAAAAAGCCTACTTAGTATAGATTAAAAAAAATAGGCCATTGATTTACCCAAAGCCATGTGTCAAAACAAGAATTTTTTTTTGTAGGATTACTGTGAATATCTAAACCTCAAATAAAGTTTAAATATAAAACCAATAATCATACGAAGATGATTAACATTCTGAAAATATCAAGTTTATTGAATCTCAGAAAAGTTACTTATTAGCTCTTATATTAGAGACTTTTAAATATACTATATTTTAGTTTACATATGGTAAGATAATGTAGAATTTAATAGAAAAGTATAATAAAAGTCCTAATTTATCATTAGAAGGAATAATTTTGATGTTACTTCCTTCCAGTTATTTTTTTAAATAGCCCGTACTTTTTAAACATTTATGTTTATCATATAAACATGATAAAATAAGAAATAATTTAGAACTAATTTCCCTAATAATGGAGTAGTACCACAAGTGAGAAAGATGTTGTTTTGATCTAGCCTTTCTCAGACTTTTTTTTTGTAAACTGCCTAATTTGTGTGTGTGTGTGTGTGTGTGTGTGTGTGTGTGTGTGTGTGTGTGTGTTTGGTGGGACTGGAGTTTGAACTCAGGAGTTCTTGCTTGCAAAGCAAGTGCTATACTGCATGAGCCACATCTCTTGTCTATTTTGCTCTGGTTATTTTGGAGATGGACCAGGCTGGCCTCAAACATCAATCCTCTTGAGCTCATCCTCCCAAGTGAAAAGGATTTCAGGCATGAGCCACAGGCCTGGCTCAGTTGTGTTTTAATGATACTGATATAGTCAAGTTGGTTTGCTCTATGAGGGGAATTGCTCTATGTATCCCTACTAAGTTAATAACAGAAAGTTTTTGTTGTTGTTATTTAAGAAAATTGAGTTTGCTTCCCTCGACTTCTACAATCAGAGCCATTCTAGATGAAACAGCTGTACTTCTTTTCATGTGCAGAAGTAAGGTTGGAGAGGAGGGACAGTTTTCCTTTCATGAAGATTTGACCACATTTTTTGTTATTTTGCAATGATCAACAAAAAAAGAATTTATTTCTATAAGATCAAATGTGAAGGTTTCATTTGTTTTTACCTCTGTGTTTTCCTTATCTACAGAAGTGTACAGAGCTCAACTTTGGCTTGAATGACTTTGATCAGGCTAGATTGAGTTCAGAAATGGAGATTAAAGAAATGGATGATAAGGGCAATTATATTCTTGAAAATCATGTCAACACTCAAAAATCATGAGCACAACTCTTCCCCTGAATTTTGTAAAATAATTTTGTCAGTTCTTCAATTTGAATGTGATACCAGAATGATAGAGCCAGTGTTCTACATCATACCAACCCAACCACTTAGGTTCATCTGAGCTAAAACACCACAAAGTAATGAGAACACCGTATAGTCATACTTTCCAGCTGATTTGGGACAAGTCATTCATTAGCTCAAATAATGACATTTTCTAAAGGAATTTATCTAGGTTATGGGTTGAAAACTGTTACGTGGAGATGAATCTCAAATAGTATTTGTCCAGGCTAGCCTTGAACCTGAATTCTCTGAATCTCAGCCTCCCAAATAGCTAGTGTTACAGGCATGAGCCACTATCTCTGGCTAAAGGAATTCTTTTAATGTTATTTGCTCATTAAACATGTGTTTCTTTTTGTTTGCTTAAGAAATGAAAAACGTGTAATATTTAATGTTTGTAACTATCTTTGTTCTCTGACAAAATCTTCAAATTATGTATATAATAATCTTTAAAAATTCAGCTATGAATAGTTCTTTGTAAGAGAGTTGATTATCTTTTGAATCTTTCAGACTCTTACTTTTGATGACGTTGTTGCCGTTCGCTGCTATGAGAAGGCATAGAGAAGTTGGTGTCTGGGGCAGAAGCTTGTCTGATGCTCGGTTTTCTTGAGCCTCAGTGCTACCCTGCTACTGCAGCACAGCTATCACTAATTAGAAGGTTATCCTTGGTGGGGAGGCTGAAAATGAAAACTTATTAGTCCAAGCAACAGGTCCAATTTTGATATGCAAATTTATCATGTTTTATAATTTTAATTAAAATTTTATAACAATATTTTATAAAGAAGGGAATGTATTTTATGATTTCCTTTGGAATGCAAATCAAATTGGAATAAAAACCTTACATGCTTGTAAAATGTTGTCATTGTTATTTTGGCTGTTACTGGGGTTTGAACTCAGAGCCTTGAACGTGCTAGGCAGGCACTATACCACTTGAGCCATCCCCCCAGTCTTATTGTTGCTTTTAATGTCATCAGTTTGCCTAGGAATTATCTACTAAGAAGTTTTAAAGAAAATAGCTTTTCTCATGGCATAAAGTAAGTCTGGAAAAGTCAGCACCTTTTATAAAATACTAATTAAAAAAATAAGATGCCACCTCAGAAAATGTGGAGATGCCACATTTTGTTTGAGATATTCATGAAGAATTTGTAATGATTAAATTCATTTGGACCTAAAAAAGTCTTATCATAGTGGACTGGGCTACAAAAATGACTTTTTGCTGTTAGATGCTGAGAGTCTGAACAAAATGATACACCTCAAAATGTCTTATTAAAAATTAAATATAATCGAGATGCCATATAATCAAAATCACTCATCAAAAGTTTCTTATTGAAAGATAGTAAGAAAGGGAAGTGGATTTCATCCTAGGTTGTTAAAATGAGTCTCCAGACAACTAACTGGACTAAGTCAGTAGAAGAACATGACCAGTGTTCACGAAAGCATTTGAATTCCTCCTTTTTTCCTGAGGGTGAGAGGAAGTGGGTAACTGGAACTGAGTGGGCCACACCAAGTAAATACCTGTTTGTAACTTGTTTTCATTTGCAAATAGTGTTGTGTATTTTACTGTTCACAAAATGCACTTTAGTCATTTCCTCAACCCCATAATGCAAAGCAAATAAGGCAGGTGTTATTAATTTTACGTTACTGATGATGAAATTGAAGATTAGATTTGCACTACCACATTCTCCTGACTAGAAAACAGCACTGAGAACTCAGCCTGGGCAACACTGCCTTTCATTTCCTTTCAAAAATTATTTCAGCGAACTTTTCTTCTGAGCAAAAAATGCAAGATTTTATTTTCCTTGGTTATTTCCTGTGAAATCTTTTGGGTGGGGGTGTAAATATATTTTGGGAAAATATGCAATATTTATTTTTTTTGGCAGTGCTGAGATTTGAACTCAGAGCCTCATACTTGCTAAGCAGGTGTTTAACACTTGAGTTACATTCCAAGAACTTTTTTTCTTTTATTATCTTTTGGATAGGGTCTTGAGTTTTTGCCAGGGCTGGTCTCAGAACAGGATCCTCCTACATATGGCCTCTGCTAGTTGGGCTCGCAGCATCTTTGCTGAGATAGGGTCTCATTAATTTTTGCCTAGGTTGGCCTCAAACTTCCATCCTCCAATCTCCACCTCCTGAATAGCTGGGATAACAGGTGTGTACCATCACAATCAGCCCTTGAAATACTCATTTTTAATCAATCTAGTGGTTTCAGTATGTTTTTATAAGTTAATTCAAAGTCCAATTAACTAATATATATAGAAAATGAGGCAGATTCCTTTAATTTATATAATTCACTGCAATGATATTATTACCTGATTATTGTAGTACAGGCTGAATGTTCATTATTCAAAATGCTTGGAACCACAACTGTTTTGGATTTTGAATAGGTTCAGCTTTTAAAATACTTGCACATACATAAATGGGATATCTTGGGTATGCTATCCAAATCCAAGGACAAAATTCATTTATGTTTCATAAACACCTTTTGTTACTTGACTGAGTGGTCTAAGATAACCACTGATCCGGAAGATTCCGAGTTCTTTTGTCACCTGAACAGAGAACTGAACAGAGACCCAAACTGCAAAACAGTAACAAAACTTTATTGAAAGAAAAGTAAAGAAAGAGTAAGAAAATAAGGGAAACAGTGGGTTCTGCCAGGTGGCACAGAAGCAGATTTTGTTGTTGTTGTCATTGTTTAAGCCCAATTTAGAAGTTGTAAAGCAGGAAAAATCTGGACACTTCTTAGGAAGGGGTTAGGGTGGCTGGCAGTTTAAATTAACACAGCCTTATCATTATAACATAGAGTATTCTGTGCATGTGCTTATGCTAATTTTCAGGTCTTTAATTGTATATCTGAAATGTGACCAATTATCATAAGGTCTTAAATAGAGGACTTTGTCTAAGAGGTTAAATTGGGGTAGGCCTCCTTTTGACCATAAGTGTGATATTCAGCATTTTATGCAAGTCAGGCTCAGAGGCACCCCTTGGAAGTTATTTTGCAAAGATATTTACTACAGCTGGGGTATTTACAACTTAGAGGAGATTTATTGTCTAAAGACGGCTGTGCAGGGGAGTGCCTGTTTGTTGAAGAGAAGGGGGTTCCCATGGTAGGTTATGTCCCTTTGCTAGACTACATCACTTTTACATACAACCTGAATGTAATTTTACATAGTATTTTTGGTGCATCTGCATTTTGACTGAGACCTTTCACATGAGGTCAGGTGAAGAATTTTCCATTTGTGGTGCCATCTCAGTGGTTAAACTGTTTAAGACATTGGATCATTCTGGATTTTGGATTTTTTGATAAGAGATGCTTAACATGCACTTTACTATAGGGTAGAAAAATATAAAGTGCAGTGATAGTATTTAACATTGAAAGCACAATTTTTAAAATATTTATTAGTATATAATAGTTGTACAAGGGATTTCATTGTGAAATTTCCATATATGCTTACAACGTACCCTGGTTTGGTTCATTCCCCACATTATTCTCCCTCTTCTCCCTCAGCTCCTTAAAAATGACTTTGACAGGTTTCAATGTTTCGTATTCATACGTGGGTAGGCAATATATGACCCATGCTCAGCCCCCCTTAACCTCTTCATTTACCGTCTCCCACTAGTAGGACCTGTTTTACAGTCCCATCCTTCATTATTCAGTAGGGTTTTGCCTTGGTATTTTACCTGTGAATATTGTATTTTAATCAGTCAGACCCCTTCTATTATTCTTCCTTACCCTTTTACTCTACCTTATATTGTTCAACAGTTTCCAGTGCATTTCTTTGTGTCTGGTTCCTACACAGATGTGATGTATTTCAATATTATTTGCTCTCTATCATTTTTATTTCTTTCCCTAATCCCCTAGTCTCAGCATACTGTCCCATTATTGGAAACATGTTCTGTATATAAATGTATATGACAATGCTTGTATTTGTATTTGAATGTCTTGCACATATGAGAGAAAACATGTGAGCTCTCTCTGAATCTGGCTTCTTTCATGAGTGCATAATTATTATTGTTAAGATGATATTATATAGCTAAGGTTTCTGGTCCTACAGAGTCTACTGCTGTCTTTAAAAGCATGAAACAGAATATTGAGAGAGTTTTCCCTCCAATTGTCTGGACTGCTATCATCTGGCTTCTAGTAAGATCTGCTGACTCTTGGTGATTTCAGCTTGTACTCCAGAAACATGGATTTTGGCCTATTGCTAAAGATACAATGCCAAGAATGGGGATTTCTCTTCAGCTCGTTATAATGAGGTCAAATCACATCATCTTGGTATTAATTTACAACAGGGGAAGAATGGAAAGGTGTTTGGATGGCCTTAATAAGAAACAAAGTCATAATGGGCTAAAAGGTCAAAGGTTGCAGAGGTAGAACACATGCATACTTACCAAGGCCAAGGGCAATTTGACCAAGAGGTCTGGGAAAGAACACTTCTGAACTTCCAAGTTCTCTAAGATATAAACTAGGCTAAAAGGTGTTTTGTGAAGTTGAGTCATGGACCGTAGACAGTGAGCAAGCAGAAGTTTTTGCCTTTATCTCATGTGTTCTGCCCCCCCAATTAGGCACACTTGGGACATGGAGACATACAGATATAGACCCAAGGATGAGGTGTACAGCTAGAGATGCTGGGACACTGAAGCTTTGTGCTTCTTAGAAATCTAGTATAAAAGAAAACAAAAGAAAGTGGAGTAGAATAGAGGAAGGTGCCTCTTCCTACTGATTTTAATATCTCATCTTTTTAGGATTACAAACATTTTTTAGGTTTCAAAATGTGCATGCCTCATTCTATGTTTACTTATCTGAACCAACTTATTCCCAGTAAAACGTATTAGAATTTCAGGGAAGATGAGCAAAAATTGATACTTCTACAATTTGTCCATTTCCTATCTTTCAAAATATTTGGAGGAAGAATCCACATGTTGTTATTGGCTAGCTTTGAAGGTGTTCTCTCTCACAAGCTCATCATTTTTTTTTCCCTTTCTACTCCACTTTCTCCCATACTTCCTCCCATAGGCTGAGGACTAAGAAACTGCATGGATCATTTTGTCTTCTTGGAAAGATCTTTGGTTCTTGCGCTGCTTTAAAATCACATGAAAGTCAAAGCAAAACTGTCCTGAACTTGGCTCCCATTTCAAAGCCCATGTCATGAGACAGGTCATTAAAATTACACAGGATATAACATAAGGTTTTCTCTGGTGGGAAATAAATGTATTGTACAATACTGTTAATATAAAATAGCCAGTGCCATAAACCTATAAACCTAGCTACTCAGAAGGCAGAGATTAGGAGAATTATAGTTCGAAGCCAGCCCAGGCAACAAATAGTTCAAATACTTGAAAATACCTAACACAAAAAAATGGGCTGGCAGAGTGATTCTTGCTAGAGCACCTGCCTAGCAAGTGTGAAGTCCTGAGTTCAAACCCAGTCCCACCAAAAGTACATACATACATATTATATATATGTATACATATAGTATATATATATATATATAAGAAAATAGTTTATTCTGAGCCATATATGGGTGATCATTTCCTAGGAACACAATTCATGATTCAAGTTACCCTGAATGATATGTTCCATTGTGGAAGAGGTTATATGAACTTTTATAGTCACAGAACAACAGAAGGTCATTAAATCAATACATCTACCAATTACATTGGTGGGAAAATGAGGTATACAGGCTACAGCAAAACAGAGAAATCTATAGGCTTCATTCTTAACTTTCGGGTTGATGGAGGCTAGAGGTTTGCTAAGCTTAGTGATACATTCTGAGTTTATCAGTCATGAGAATGTTAGGTCAGATGCAGAAGTTAAGGTTATTGGGTATTAAAAGGCCTAAGAGAGCCCAAGATAATTTTGACTGTGGACCTGCAACATTCTCTCTCTCCACAATCAGGGTTTTCTAATAGGCCAAGGTGAAGTAGTCTGCAGGATCTTTAAAATAGATGCAGCTTCTTCCAAGAATTTTAGTTCACATCTTTTGTGAGATCAGTACTTCCGGAAGGTATTTTCTTCTCCAAGTGAATTCCATGCCTTATAAACCATTAGCCTTATCTTGAAAAGGTTAGCATCTTTATAAATGGCAAGAGAAAGAACACTGAGTACATCCCCTACACAGTTTGGGAATTCTGACTTCTTTGATAAAGTAGCTTCAAAAATTCCTTTGAAATATAAAATCAAATGCCTTTGTGTTTTCCATGCTTCTCTAGAAGGCAGAGAGCATGATTTTGGGACATGTTTTAACTCCATTGTAAAATAAAATAATAAGTAAATCCAACCTGGTGTCTTTTAGCAATGATTCTCCAACATCATTATCACCTAGCTGACATCTGGAAAGCTTGGGAAACACACCTGGCTGGGCTCTACTCCCACAGTTTCTGTTTCATTAGGTGTAGGGTGGGGCCTCCTATCAGCGTTTCTAATTAGAGTTCCCAGGTGGTACTGACACTGCTGGTCTAGAAACTACTTTGAGATCCACTGTGCTATCCAAAACTTTTGCTGGCCTAATCCAAATCTCACTTCTTCTTTGCCACCCTCAGCTCAGGAGTGCTGTGGCTTCAGGGCCCCGGTGGCGGTGACGGAAGTCGATGTTACACAGGGTTGGCCCAAGAACATTCCTTCCCAGGCCAGTCACTGACTCTAAGAAACAAGAGGGCAGGTAATCACTGAACAGTAGCTGAAGGTCAGGCGCAAACCACTCGCTGGGACATCTGCCTCTGCACGTGATCGGCTGGGTGACTACACCCGGTCCTCTGCTGCCTCCTCCCCTCCTCCTGGCCGGACCGTCCCAGTACAGCACAGCCTGGGAGCCGCGTATCCCGTCCCGGGGCAGTGGCCGCGGCTCTCCATGGCGCTGCTGGGCGCCTTCCTCTGCTGCCTGTTGGCCGCCTGGCACGCCAGCCCGGGCCTCGGGCTGCCGCTGGCACCGGCTGTCGGCGGGTGTCCGGCCCGGGCTGCGGGTGAGTGGTGCTCACGGCCTGACCTTGACCGCGGGGCCGGGAAGCCGGGTGGGCCGCGCCAGCGCCTGCGCCTGGGGGGCGCTGCTAGGTGTCAGCGGAGTCACCAGCTGGCGTTTGTTTACCTCTGCGCTCAGCTGCTTTGCTCCTGGGAGAAGAAGCAAAAAGCCTCTGGCCCTGAGGACAGACAGCTGGGAGTGGCGTGTCGCGCACTCCTAGTGTCCCCTAATCTGCCCGTGGCTGGGGGTGGTGTGGGGGACCCGAGCGTGTGAGTTTGAGCCCCATGCATTGTCTCTGTTCTGCTCAGGCGGCTCAGTGACTTTTTCTGCCACGGAGAGCCACCGGCACCCCTTCCTTAAGCACCATAGGAGTTCTGAGCCCTTCTTTTCAGCGGATGCCCTCTTGGCTCCCTGCGAAGAGACCAGTTTTGTTTATTTTACCAGCGCTGAGTGCAGTGCCGGTTACTCAAAGTGCTGCTTCAAGTGTGGTCTGCAACCAGCGACCGCAGCGACCTAAACTTGCAACTTGTGAGAAGTGCAGCTTTTCAGCTCAATCCGAAACTTGAAGGATGGGGCCCAGCAGTCTGTTTAACAGGTCCTCCGGGTCATTCCGATTGACGCACAGGTTATCGAATCCCTGCTCCGGATGAAATGTTTAGTGAGATACCCTAGGATTCCTCTGAGGCTTTAGTTTCAAAAATCAAGGTGTAGTCACCTCCCTACTCCCTTTAAGAATAATTGCTCTGCTAAAGGGAAAAAATTAGAGAGGTGTTCTGTTCTGTTCTGGGCAATAGCTGTCCTGAGATAACTCATAGCTGCCTTAGTACTGAGAGCTCTCTCTTTTCTCAGTCCTCTCCATCTGTCTCTGCTCTCCTCTGGGTTTCAGGATTGCATTGGGGAAATCCCTTCTCTGTCTGAGGGCTAATTCCTCTTGACTCAGCTCTCAAGGCAGTTGGAAGCAAGAACAGCAAATCTAGTTTTCCAACTAAGGCAACTGTCAGTCAACAAGAAATTGTCCCAAATGTTTATGTATGTTGTCATCTAATTCTGTGACTGTTAAGATTTTAAGATAAAATGTCTCAGGTGGCACAATTCTCACCCAGGGCAATTTCAACTTTTTTTTTTTTTTTAATCTCATTGCTCAAGGCCTCCATGAAAACTTTCTGGAATGTGAATCTTCACCACTCTGTGTTTTGGAAGGGAAGTTGGAAGGTTTCTGAATCACCTCCTACTGCAGAGGGAGGGAGAGAGGTTAAGTAGACTTAAAGGCCAGAAATGTTGACACAGTGGTTTCATGTTGCATGTATTATTTTACTTGTTTTTCACTTGAATGTGATCTTTCCCCTCCCTCCTCCTTCCAACCCCCAAAGCTTGTACTTCTTTAACTACTTCCACCATGTCTGGCCTCTGCTTATTTGTTTTATATTTGAGTGTTTAACTTCCAGATTTGGTTTTCTGCCATGCCCAGTCCAGGTCATTAGAGGACAACAACCCTAGGAGGCTTCATCTGGGTGTTTCTGACCAGCTCTTTAGGCGTAGTAGGCTGCATCTGCTGGGGTATTTAGTACATAAGAACTGACATTGTAAACAAACACCTATTTAAACAACAACCGTAAGTCTAAGCATCTGAGCTATGGTTCAACTGGTTCTTTATGACAAGTCATTATATTTTCTTTAACTTAAAGTTTTTTTGTGTAATTTTGAACATTTATATCTAGATAGGTTGAACACATATGATATGCATTTTGGGCAATCTTTTTAAAGATTGTAGAACAAGAAAGTAATTGTGGTGTTAACAACTTTGACTTTGAACTAGAAAATCTGTTTTGGAGTGGTGGGCTGTGCCTGACACAGGCCAGGTCAATAGCCTTAAAAACACACACCACACACCACAGCATTTTGTGTATGATTTCATCAGAGTTGGAGAGGTTCATTATTCATAAATCTTAGGTTAAGAACCTGACAGAACTCCAGTCCTGGCTTCTATTTAAAGGGATCCTTCAGTGAATCTAAATAATTACCCCCTCATTTGTCTGCCTGGCAATGTGATACAGTGGAAAGGACACTGAAGTCTAGCTAGACTGATTCCGTTCAGCTTTCATTACAGTCATGTGATTTTTGAGGAAATCGGAAACACCTTGGTCTAAATGTCATCAGATATAAATTAAGGAAAGATTGCTGAAGGCCTAGTCAGTTAGACATGTTATAGATACTAGAGATACAGAAACTAGGTACTAGATTACATCAGATGGATGTGCTCCCAATACATTTTGAGTTTTGGATTACAAAAATTTAATATGTTCACGATCTCATCTCTCTTAATCTTCACAGTGTCTCATATGCAGATGTCAATACTTATTTTCATGTGAAGGGAGTGAGGGAGCACACACAGTAAGGCAGTGTGTGCAGTGGTTAAGAGGAACATGGACTCTGGGGTGAGATTCATGAATTCATGTCTTAGCTCTGTTGTGTATGATATATGTGACTTGGATTTAATCTCTGTGCACTTTAGTTCCCTAGCTTTAAAAGGGAGAATACAGCATATAAAACAGTACTAAACATATAATAAGTACTCAAATAAAATTTAATGATTGCTTGGAAATGAGGAAGTTCAATTTCAAAGGCCAGGTTTGGGGTTAGAAAATAATAATAATAAAACTAACCTGGAGCTTACTATATGCCATGTACTGTGTAAGGACTTGACTTCTACTAAGCCACTTAAACTTCACAATAGAGACTATTATTATTCCTGTTTTATGGGTGAAAGAGGCCATTGTCACACAGCTAGATTAGTAGGTGGTAGAGCTTGTGTTGGAAGCCAGGAAGGCTGACTCTGGAGTCTTTTTCTACTCTCAACCATAAAACTATTCTGTTTACTACACCTTAACATTCTACAAATAATATACATGTGTGCATAAAAATGAGATGTAACCTATATTTATATCCCAAGAATGACTCTAAGCTATTTGCCATCTTTACTCTGTGTGCTAGATCAATATATCTAACCTAGAGAAGGTTGGGGTATTTTTTGCATTATGAAGTAAAATAAATTACTCTTGGGAGATGTGTTCAAGTGGTGACTAGTTCTGAGTAGTTGGCCATAAAGACTATTTTATGTCTGTTTGCATCTGGCATTCTTGTCTTCACTTCTTAAGTGAGAACTTGTGTTATAAATTTATAACATTGCTGGCAGGAAACAACCACCAAAAAGATAACTCATCTTTTTTATCTTAACAAATTAACTTTTTCCACTATGTTTTTACAGCATTGGGTCATATTAAGTTTTATTATCTTTGCATAGATAAAAGTTCTGATGTAAATTGTGGGAATCAGAGTGAACTCAAAACTTTCTGTGTGTTTTTGTGTGTCACAATTTATTTTGAAGGTCATTTTAGAAACAAAGACAATAATCAGAGGGAAAAAGGCACAGAATATCCTCATTAAATACATACAAGAATTAAATTAGGATAAGGGAATGTGTTCTCTTCTGCAACTCCAAAATTAGTTTTGTTGTCCTGAAGATTCTTATACATGCAAAAAGGAAATTAGAACTGATTATGCAGGGCTATTTAAAAGCATGGTTGTTAAAGCTGACTGTTAATCATGTAAATCTATAAGAAACTGTGAAAATATCTCAATGTTAAAAAGTTGACAATATATCAGAAGACAGCAAAATCATTGGTCATATATGCGAGTTATAAAAGCAAACTTGGGGCCACATTAAATGTGGGCCTGGATTAACTGTGTAGGCTTTGCAAACTTCCTAATTATCCTAGTGTTAGTTTCTCAACTCTAAATTCAGAACCATGATTCTGACTTCATAGAGTTCTTTATCTTTTTGGTATTGTACTGGGGATTAAACTTAAGACCTTGAGCTTGGGGCTTTACCACTGGAACCACATACCTAGTCTTTTGCTTTCATTTTGATTTTCAAATAGGGTCCTGCACTTTTGCCCCAGTCAGCCTCAGACCACAATTCTCCTACACCTGTCTCCCCAGTAGCTGGTATTGCAGCCATGAATCATCACGCCTGGCCCATTTATAGAGTACTTTGGAAAATGCAATGACACAGCATGTTTAAATTGTCTAACACAGTGACTGGCACATAATAAATAGTTAGTAAGAACAGGTAGGACTATTTCTTTTAGTATTTTCTTCAATGAAGTAATCTTAAAATGGTTTTCAAGTAGGAATGCTATCAACTGGTTTTGACTTTTCCTAGAAAACCCACTGGGAACATCCTCTTTAAAACTGCTTCCCATAATATTAATATTCTGTACAGCTCTATGGTAACAGACGTGCCTCTATTAAATAGCTTTTAAAAATCTCTGGGGATTTTTATTTTGGTTACATGGCTATTAAAGATTTTCGTTCTTTTCTTTAATTTGAGAGGCAAAGTTATACAAAAATGAGCTGAAATACACATTTCCTGGTTGTGCAATCTCCTTACTTGTGCAACATTGGCAAACTATATCATACTTCTATATCAATTTTTCTACAGATTTCATTATGCACACTCATCTTTGTTCTATGGGTTTTGTTAGATAGACATGATAATACTGAGTTAATCAGTTCTGACATACCGTAATCACCCATTCTTCAGCTGTTCTTCATCTTCTCAAAGGGAGGAATTGTGTTTATCTTCGTGGAGTAAGAACACTTAAATAAGGCTTTGGAGAAGCAACTGTCTACCATCTCTAGTCTTATTGTAAACATTTGTATGGGAATTCGAAAAGAGAAGTAGATTTATCAGGACTTCTTTTCTAATTAACAGGACAGTTTTGGCATGTGACTGACTTACATTTAGACCCTACTTACCACATCACAGATGACCACACCAAGGTGTGTGCCTCATCCAAAGGCGCAAATGCCTCCAACCCTGGCCCTTTTGGAGATGTCCTGTGTGATTCTCCCTATCAACTTATTATGTCAGCATTTGATTTTATTAAGAATTCAGGACAAGAAGCATCTTTCATGATATGGACAGGGTAAGTAATTAGATAAATACTTCTTAGTTAGTTAGAATTTATCTATGGCTTCCTAAATTCATCACGATGCCTAATTCCTTAAAAAGAGTGATTATGTTTTAAGAATTATTTGGTTCAAAAATACTGTGTCAAATTAGTTAATATTATTAGAAATAAGAGCAATTTTGGAAATCCTGGTATTATTTTTGTAATGCAGACTTTAGAAATATGTCAGTGTTAGCCAAGAGATGCCTCCATAATAGTACACTTGCATCAACAACTTGAGGTTTTGCTTATTGTGACAATATGCCTTGATTAAATAAGGACAAAAGGCAACAATGGGAGTTAACCCATGAAGACAATTTTGTGAAGCATCATTTTTCTGTTGAGATAATTAACTAGCTCCATCATAAAAGAGTGAAAGAGAACTGAGGCTGGAGATGTAGCTCAGTGGTTGCCTAGCATGCATGAGACCCTGGACTCAATCCCTAGTGCAGCGAAAAAAAAAAAGGTGAAGGACTATATTTCTAGTATCTGAAATAATAACCATAGCTAATACTTGTATAATGTTCACACTGTGCTAGGTAATTAATTAATTTATATATTGCAACTTATTTAATATTTATGATTGGTATTGTTATTATTATTATTTCCATTTTACAGATGAAATGAAGACACTGAGCATCTAAACAACTTGCCCAAGTGTATACAAGTTATAATTGGCAAAGCTGGCATTTGAATCCAGGCTCTAAAGTTTGTACTTTATTAATAATGTAGTTTTTGCTATCATAAAACTTTACTCAGACAATGAAATAGGCCAAGTTTTAAAACTTTTTTTGTAGTGTATTTTTGTTTTCTTTTTTCTTTTTCTTTTGAGCCATGGTCTCATTTTGTTGCCCAGCTGGTTTTGAACTCCTGGGCTCAAGTGATCTTCTGTCTCAGCCTGCTAACTAACTGGGACTACAGGCACACTGCCACACCTGGCTACCCATCAGCTCTTTAACTGTAACTGCCATTTTATAGCAGAAGTCTGCAGTAATGGGTACATCAAAGTATCATGCATACATCAGGTGACTCTGTAAAAAGAGATTTTGTTCTTTCCAATTCTGTCTCCTTTCCAGGGATAGTCCACCTCATGTTCCAGTACCTGAACTCTCAACAGACACTGTTATAAAGGTGATTACCAACATGACAACAACCGTTCAGAACCTCTTTCCAAACTTGCAGGTTTTCCCTGCACTGGGCAATCATGATTACTGGCCACAGGTAAATTTGATGTCAGATTCCAGAAGTTCTTAGAAGATTTTTCCCATCAATAGTGTCAAAATATGATAATAACTAGTCAATGGTAGGGTCTGGGGATGGGTCTTGAGGAGGGAGAGTCTACTCCTAATGAGGACAAATGCTTTGAGTGGTTTAGAAGAATTTTAAAAAAGAAACCAAGGCAGACATTGTGCTCATGCCTATAATCCTAGCAACTTGGGAGGCTGAGATCTGAAGGATTGTGTTTTAGGACAGTCTGGGCAAAAAGTTCTCAAGACCCCATCTTAATGAATGGAGCAGGGTGTTGCATACCCATCATAAGCTACAGGAGGCTGAGATTAGGAGGATTGTGGTTCCAGTACAGCCTGGACAAAAAAAGATCAGGAGACCCCATTTTAATGAAAAAGCTGGGTATGGTGGCATAGGCCTGTCATTCCAGCTACAGTGGGGTGTAAATAGGAGGATCACGGACCAGCCTGGTCAAAAGTGAGATCCTGTTTCCAAAATAACTAGAGTAAAAAGGGCTGGAGGTGTGGCTCAAGCGGCAGAATGTCTGCCGAGTAAGTTCAAGGCTCTGTGTTCAAACTCCAGAACTTCCAAGAAAAAATATTACAAAGTTATGTCAATAACTTTTTCAGAAGCAAGTTACCCAGTTTGTGGATTATTAATAACTCTTTTATTTTAATCTTTTTCTTTTAAAAAACTTGTTTCATTTATTATCCTTTTCTTTCTCTTGAATATTTTTCTTGTTCATTTGCATGTCAGATTTAGCATGGATGATTAATATGACAAATGTTTGCATTTCTATTAGGCATATAAAGATCAGCATGCCCTGATAAAGGCTAGGTCATGATTTTAAAAAAATAACAGACTAACCAAATCAAAAGGGGAAGATCCATGTTTCAATCCAATTTATCTACCTAAGGTGTGACTCAAAGAAGAAACTGTGTTTGAAATATCTAATGCATGATGTACACCAGCTCCAGTCAGAGTGGCCATTTTTTAAGTTACCTGGGCATAACAGCTAGATATCAGTTGTGTGACAAGGTCCTGAGACAGGAGTATAGAATCTTAGATTCATACAGATTCAAAACATACCAGAGATGGATATTTAGTTCAGGGCTTGGCAAACTGTGGCCTGTGATCAAATTTGGCCTATTGCCTTTTTTGTAAATAAAGTTTTGTTGGAACACACTATGCCTCTATTCATTCTATATGGTCTGTAATTGCTTTTGAACTATAATGGTAGAATAGAATAGTTGTCACAGAAGGCTATAAGGCCCATAAGCCTGAGAGTTTCTGTCCTTCACTTTATGGAAAATTATGCTGGCCCCTGACTTGGATCAACCTCCTTTTTATAGATGAGAAAACTGAGGCCCAGAAGTGTTGAGTTATTTGTCCAGTCCTCATGATCCCATGCTTTGGATCATTTTACCCCAGTCCTATATTCAGTTAGAACAGTTTCCTTTCACACATCCCTTGTTCTTGCCAGACTAGCACACTTAATACTTCTTAAATATTTACTTTGTCCACACTTTTCTCATTGGTTAAGAATATCTTTCCATCTTGTATGAGTTTCCACTTGAATGGGAATTTTGATCATCTTAGGCAATCTAACCTGAAAATAATAATTTTGAAAAGTTTGCATTCTAGGACAAGTTTAGGTTAAATGATTTCTTGGTCTTAGCCTCCAATCTTGAGATGGACAAAATTGCAAAATCTAGATTATGAGTCATTGTGAGCCAGCCTCCTACCTGGTGGTCAACTTTTATAATTATTGGGGTATTGGAGTACACAGCACAGAGGCTTCAGAAGCCCAGCATTACATGCCTTGTTTTTATATGCCTTTGGTAACAGGCAGACTGGAAAATGTGGGGTTCAGAATCATGTTCACTGGAATGTAAATCTCTATTCTGCCCTGTTCCTTAGAGCTTGACCTTGGGTAATTCACATATTGTCTTTAATCATAGGTCACTCATTTGTAGGTAGGAACATTAATATCTGCTTTACAAAGTTTTTGTGAGAAATAGTGATAATATATGAAAGGGGTATAGCTTGCATCTTGGCAAATCATAAGCCTTAGATGAATGGTTATTAAATAGTGGTCCAGGATGCATTTTTTTTCTGACTTCTTTGAGGATTTGTTTCATTTTCTTTTTACTCTGTCTTTTTGTTGAGTCAAATCTTAAAATAATACGATGATATAGAGACTAACTTCTCTACATTACATTATCATATGTACAGCTAATTTGGACCACATATATACCTTAAGTAATTAATTTTTTTCTCTTTATAGCTTATGGTTTTTTGAGGGAAGAAATGAACTCAGAGGCTACCACAACCTAAGCATATGCTCTACTACTAAGCTGTGCCCTCCTCCCTAGACCTTAGGTCATGATTTGCTATCTGAAAATTTTTTTCTATTATTCAACTGCTATCTTTCCACCTCATAGTTTTAGAAATGTCAAATGTCACATGAAAGCCTCCCAACTAATTCTCCTAAAGACAGCTATCTGGGATCTAATTCTGGGAATATTAGGAACAGATTTGTAAGTGTGATTTCTTCATTAAAACCCATGAGCCTGCACCATAGCTCCATAAATATTCATGCACAGATGCATGTCCCCACCCATTACATCAGAGGAAGCAGGTATTAGTGGACAGCCCAGAAATTCCTTCTGTTGCCACCCAAGTAAGCAGTCTGAACCAGGGGCCTTATTTACTCCTACACTGGCAAGACTGGTGCTACCAAATTTATGGGTGGATCACTTCATATAGTAGTATCTCATTTCTCAGCAGTAATCAGGCCACAACCTAAAAGGATGATGCAACAGACTATATAAAAGTGATGGGAGGGGAGGACCTGGAGGTTCTAGGAATGACAAGATGTCTGGATAAACCACCTAATTTCTCTGGTGCTCAAATTCCTCATAATTAAAATAGGAAACTCTAGAGTGATTTTATTACAGACTCAGGCTTCCATATCTGTAGGTCTTACATTCTTTGATTAAAGCAAGTCTTAGAAGGAAAATATTTTCAAGTAAATGCACATGTACTAAACATGTGCAGACCATTTTTCTTCTATAATTCCCTAAAGTCTATAGTATAACAGCTGTTATGTAACATTTTCATTGTATTGGTTATTATAAGTAATTTGGAGATGATTTAAAGTGTATGTAAGGGAGTGTATGTAGGTTTATGCCAATATTATTCCATTTCATGTAAAAGCCTTGAGCATTCCCAAGAATTTTAGTATCTGAGTGGGGTTCAAACAAATCCCCTGTGGATACTGAGGCACTACTAAAATTTTAAGATATTTATGGTAATCTATACTTTGGCAGCCAACTCAAAGTAGACATGTGGGTTTATATTGCTATCATCGTTAAATAATATTATCCTATTACCAATTTTAACTCTGAATTTAGATTAGCCCAACTCTTTTGTAATTCTCAGTTGACTCTAATCTCTGATACAGATTAAAATATGTTTTAGATTATTAGTTGAGTTAAAACAAGTCATTTGGATACTGGTGGCTCACTTCTGTAATCCTAGCTACTTGGGAAGTTGAGATTGGGAAGATCAAGATTTGAGGCCAGTGCAGACTAAGATCCAATCTCCAAAATAAGCAGAGCAAAACAGATTAGAGATGTGGTTCAGGTGGTAGAGCACCTGTTTTGCAATCACGAAACCCTGAGTTCAAACCCCAGACCCACCAAAACAACAACAGAAAAGTCATTTGGTTATTACTTTCTCTGAATGTAACTTGAAAAATAACTAAATATCTTGATCAATATGGACATGGAAACTCCACTAAGAATTAAATAAACATAACCTGGATTCATAAGGAAATGAGGAAAGTAAAGAGTCTTTTCTTCACATTATTTTGTATCATGTTTAAAATAAAAAAGTAGAGATAATTATCCAATTTCATAAATAATTTTTATGTTTTTATTCAATTTTTTAAACTTTTTTCTCTACACCTTATATCACTATTAATAATACTTTATGAATATAAAGGTACTTTTATGATAAGATGAGATTGATATGTTAGAAAGATATTTTAGCATGAAATTTTATATAATTTATAATGTGTTATTTAAAAAGTCAAAACATGTTGATGTAATTTATGGTGCCATAAAGAGACTTCTTTAAACTAAAAGCATGTTGTTATCAATCTTCATTCAAGGAGTTGAGAAACTTCCAACATTTCAAAGGATTTTGTTAACGTATTAAATCATGAAGTTTTTCCCATCTTAAATCATGAAGCCAGTATGCTACACCAGGCCCTAACATGTCAATGTACTGTCTGTTCCTTGAGCACACTCTCACACCCATCCTATACCCTAGCCATACCTGACACATAAACTTTTCTCTGTACATCACACACACCTCTGTTCCTTGTGCTTTTAATTTGGTCATTTATTTTGCTTCGATGGCCTTTCTTGTCAACTTATTTAAGACCTGGATTTAATGCTGTCTTTGCTCTCTCCCTGACTTGATTGTTCCTCTTCTGTGCTCGCAGAACCTCTATGGTAGCACTCAGAAAAATGTCTTATAGTTGCTTAATTATATTTCAAGAAAGTTACAAATTCCTTGAAGACCCAATCGATCACTTAGTATTCATCCTTACATGTATGGATGCCTAACATGATGGTCAGCATTCAAGTACAGTTCAAATTAACTAATCCATGTATCTTTAAAATTTCAATGATGGATTCTATTGTTTGTGACCAGGATCAGTTGCCGATAGCCACCAGTAAGGTGTACAATGCTGTAGCCAAGCTCTGGAAGCCATGGCTAGATGAAGAAGCTATTAGTACTTTAAGCACAGGTAAGTGAAAGATTTATCCCCATTTTGCCTCCATTTTTATTCATGTTATTTAGCTTATCTTTAATGTTTTCTTGGGTTTGTCAATTCCGGAAAGCCTCTGCACCCATTTTTTATGAGGGTAACTTTGCCTTGTGACTCATGTTGTGAATCAGTTCATCTTGAAAGGAGCTCTTTTCCTTCCTATTCCACCTTCAATCAAGATGTTCCATATGAAGCAGAAGCTGAACTTTGAATTTCAATGTAAATAAAAGTGTATGTTTTTAGTTGGAAAATTGAGAAGAGAGAATGGGTACCTTTAACAAGAAAGCAGAATTTTATGAAACAAATGGCTGGTAAAGAAGAATAACTAAGCTCTTAGCATGGACTTTGAGATGCATTAGTGTATGATAAGGCCTTCCTTAGGTATTGTCTAAACACCTTCACTTTGCCCTGTCCCTGTGGACATTCCCTGAAAGGGCGATGTGTGAAGCTATCAGAGTGACACCAAAGCTGTAGGGTAGATCCCAGGAAGACAGAGAGGCCCAGAATGTGGAGCATTGGCTGAGGAAAGATGCAGGCAGTAAGCAAAGCCACCTAGGAGAGAGGCCATACTGGCTGTAGCCAGCAAGGCCTTGACAGGAAGAGTGGGGGCTTCCCATGCCCTTTGGCGCTCACATACTATGTGCCTTAGATACCAGATATAGAGCCGTATTAGTGACTTTTTCATAGATGTGACCAAAATACCTGACAGAAACAATTTAAAGAAGGAAAGATTTATTTTGGCTGTTTCAGAGATGTTAATCCATCATGCCAGGAGGGTATGATAGAGCAAAGCAGAGTAGTTCACATCATGGTGCACAGGAAGCAAGTAAAGTAGATGCAGGAAGGAGTCAGGACAAGCTATAGCCCCCAAGGACACACCTCATTGATCTACTTCTTCCAACAGCCCTATCTCATCTCCCAATAATATCACCATATCATGAATCCATCAAAGGTTTAATCCATTCATTATATCAGCAACACCTTTATGAAGATTAATCATCTCAGGGCTACACAATTTAATGTTTATCCTGCTGAGTTTTGATCTTTGGTCCAATCCTTCCTTGTTATTTTCTTATTCCTCCATTTTGGCATGGGAATATAAGTTAGTCAATTCTTTGTCACTGTGAAAAATACCTCAGGTAAACAACCTAAGGGAGGAAAGATTTATTTGGGAGGCATTTCAGATGTAAACCATACCAAGATGCTTATCCTGTGCCATTGTATGTTGAGGCATGTAACTTGTTTTCAGTTTTTACAGGGTTCACAGCTAAGAATTTGCCTTGAGTTTCAGAGACTGTGGACTTGGACTTTTGAGAAATGCTGGAACTGTTGAAACTTTAGAAACTCTTTGAGATGGACTAAGTGCATTTTTCATTATAAGATGGACATGAGCTTTTGGGGACCCAGGGGTGGAAGGTTATCTTGAATATGAAGAGCACCCCCAAATCTCACATGTTGAAGACTTGGTCCCCAGCTGGTGATACTATTGAGAGGTGAACAGATCAGGAAGGCACCAACTTTATCAATGGATTAATTCATTGATGAGTTTATAGCTGAATGCTTTTAAGAGGTGGGACCTAGTTGGAGGAAGTAGGCCACTGGGTGTGTGCCTTTGATGAGTATATGTTGTCTCCATAGTCTCTCATTTTCTCCCCTCCCTTCCCTCTGTCTTCATGATATAAGTAGCTTTCCTCCACTATGCTGTTTGATCATGCTTTACGGCCTCACCACAAGCCCTAAAACATGGAGCCAAGTGACCATAGACTGAAACCTCTGAAACCTTGAGCCAAAATTAATCCTTACTCCTTAAGTTGATTTTCTCATGTATTTTTTCACATAGGAATGCTGACTAACACAGCCCCCTTCTCCAGTTGCTCTCAACCCATCAATATGTATATCCTTGACATTTTGTGAACTTAATTGGGGTGGCCATCTGTTAAATTAATACTTTGGTACTTTAAAAGTTTTGAGATAATTATTAAGTCAATGATTCAGTTTCTCTCTGTGCAAAATTTTCCTTTTACTATTTTCCTTAAAGTTTTAGATTTTATCACTATTTTTTTTTTTTACTGTATTGGTAGCACTCAGCAAATCATAGTATAAATGAACTTGAGACCTGTTATCTTGGTTTCAGGCACCGGTCCTGATTAATCTAGGGAGCTGTACTTAGTCCTATGTCCTAAACCTGAAACCCACATGGAGAGTTTGTGTACATAAAGGAAGGGTCCTAAGGAATAATCAAAATTTTTAAAGTGTTGCTCTGGATTTTAAGGAAGCTTAGCTCAATACAAAGAAGGCAGAAAAAGTTAACATGAGTTTCATAGTGTTATACATTCCGAGGATAACCCATTTCCAGTTAAACACTGGAATATTGAATTAACATTTTATAGACATAAAAGGCTTTCAAGAAAGTTTTAAAAGTGAAAGTGATTTGTAGCAGTGATTTCCTGCATGCAAGCCTCAAACTTTGTCATCTCAAAGTCTGTAGTAAGAGCTATTGTTAGCGGCTACGACTAAGAGATAAAAGGGCAGCATCTCTACAACAATTCTGCTAATAATATAGAAAAATCATAAGGTGTTGGAACTCAGAGGAGAAAGGAAATTAAAGAGACAGTGATCAGTCATGACTGAAAGGTAGGGAAAGGGATACATGGTGAGTGGGCCTACAGCAAAGAAAGGAGGCCCAAGATCCCCTGGCTAGCTCTGAAAATACCAGTGTGGCAGACTCTCAGGTGTCAGTCACTGATGGTTCTGTGGCATAATAATGCCTTTACACCTCAGATTGTAGCAGCTCTGATTTATCTAACATTTTTTCCTCAGTAGTCTCTAGCAAGATCCATGTATGTCCCCTTCTTTAGATTTTATATTTCACAGTATCCCCAACTTAACTCCCCAAGCATATAAAAGTGGAGGTTTATATAAAATCCTTGTTTTATAAAACTCAGTCATCATTGCTTACTGCCCTCTTCATCTGAATATTGGATACACTTGCTGTTACTTCAGCATGTACACATTGGACCTTGTAGCTTTTTAATAAATGTTTGTTAAATCTGATTCTTATCTAAACAGTAAGAAATGAACCCAAGCTTCCAGGCTGCATTGTAAACCTTAATAACTGTTTTCACAATGTCTACATATATGCATGTGTTCCTAAAATGTGCTTTAAATTTTTTTTAGGTGGCTTTTATTCACAGAAAGTTACATGTAATCCAAATTTGAGGATCATTAGTCTAAACACGAACTTGTACTACGGCCCAAATATCGTGACCCTGAACAAGACAGACCCAGCAAATCAGTTTGAATGGCTGGAAAAGACATTGAATAGCTCTCAGCAAAATAAGGAAAAGGTAGATTCTAAAGAAGAAAATCATCAGAAGATAAATAGAAGGCTAAATTTGTTTATTTATTGAACTTGGAGAAGAATCAGATGCTAGCAAGAGAAAAATATTTAAATTTAAAGATTTAACAAATTGTGACCAGTGTTAGTATAAATGAGACAAGTACAAATATACTAACCTTAATAGTTTTATCATTTCATTTCTGTTTGTCATAAATAGGAGACATAGTATATTTGCTTTCTAAATTGTAATTAATGTACGTTCAGTGTCAGATATCCAAATGTCATTTAGTTATGGCAAATATGCAGAAAGAGTCTCATGAGTCCTCCTTGTATTTCTTTTTCCAGGTATACATTATAGCACATGTTCCAGTGGGCTATCTGCCCTTTTCAAGTGGTATCCCAGCAATGAGACAATACTATAATGAGAAATTGATAGATATTTTTAGAAGATACAGCAGTGTCATTGCAGGACAGTTCTATGGACATACTCACAGAGATAGCATTATGGTTCTTTCAGATGAAAAAGGTATTGTGACATTCTGCATGCATCTCCCCAGTCCAAGATAACAGAGCAAAGCAGTGAATATCCAGTAAACTTACTGATTGCAAAAATTAAAAGGGTTATTAAAAATGAAAAAGAAAACCTGTCATCACTTGTTAGGCACAGTGGCTCACACCTATAATTCCAGCTACTTGGGAGGTGGAGATAGGGAGGATTGTGGTTTGAGGCCACCCTAGGCAAAAAATTACCAAGACCCCATCTCAACAAAATAAGCTGGGTATGGTGGCATGTGCCAGTCATCTCTGGTACATAGGATGACAAAAAGGGCTGAAGGGGTAGCTCAAGTGGTAGAACACTTGCCTAGCAAGCATGCAACTCTGAGTTCAAACCCAGTCCACAAAAACAAAACAAAAGAAAAACAAAACCCAAACTTGTTAACACTAGCCTTTTCTGAATTATCTCAAATGTTTGTATGATGAATGTCCAAATCATAAGATTAGGCCTGTAATTGGATTGCTTCAACATAAGCCCCTATAAGCTGCACAGGCATTATTTATCTGCTGTGCACCCAAAAGTCTCAGAAGCCCAAGGCTCACTCTATTGAGTTCAGAAAAATAATACTGTCTGTTAGACTCAAGTTTCCTCAAGTTCCTTCTTTATGACTTGCTTTATTTCACACAACTTAAAAAGCAGAGCACAATTTGTACAGTGACTTCAAATATATTAAGTTCATACTTGTAGGTGCTTAAATGCCATTTTTACCTGTTCAGCAGTGAAAGAAAAGAAAATAGAAGAAGCTGGAGCAAGACACTGAGAATTAACAAAATAAGAGCTCTGATTTTAAAGTGGGAAGGAAGAAAATCCATTTGCATTTTCTTCAGTAATTGGGGGACAGTTTTGAAATGCTCACTTCTAGAATGAGTTGGCTTGGTAAAAATGACTACTTGTTTAGCATTTGATAATTTTTTAACTCAGAAAAAAATTTACTTCAGTAGTATATATGTATAAAATATGGTGACACTTTAATCAAGTTCTTGCTATGTAATTATTAGAATATTGATTTAGTAGAGGTACAGAACAGTTCAGCTTCTTTATTTGTTTTTCTGTGTGTGTACTTGTCATAGACTTGCATTTTTGTGTTATGAAAAATTTCAGATCTATATAAAGCAGAGACAGTGATACAACAATCCCTATGTACTTATTCATATTCAGTATCCATAGATTTTGTCATATTTGCTTTACCCATCACAGATGTATCTGTTTGTGTGTGTGTGCATAGTTAAAAGTGAATTCAAGCAGCAGTTGTATTTCAGCCCTGTATACTTCTGTATCCATTGCTAAATTGTATGGATAATTTATAAAACCACAATAACATTAATTGACCTAAACCAAACTGACACTATTTCTTTGATACTGATGTTAAAAATTCTTCTATTTTTTCAAAGTGTCTCTATAATTGTTTCAAATTAGGTTCATCAATGAGCACAGTATTTGACTATTATGTCTGTTAATTTTTTATTCTGGGAGCTATTCATAGTTTTACTATAGTTGAACTCATTTTTTGTAAAAATGTCTGACTACATATGTGTTGTTCAGGAAGTCCAGTAAGTTCTGTGTTTGTGGCTCCTGCTGTTACACCAGTGAAGGGTGTTTTGCAAAGGGAGACCAACAATCCTGGTGTCCGACTGTTTCGGTATGAGCCTGGTGATTACACATTATCGGTAAGTTGGTACAGTTTCAGAGTTGACTCCATATATATGCATGTCGTTGTAGTTAGCTTAAGTGGAAGTTTCTTAGCACAGCTGTATGAGATGTATTTTATATTGAAATCTCATGGACTCCTTTTTCCTTTTTATACTTGGAATGTCTGTCAGTACTTTCTAAGTGTGCACAGGGGAGGTTAACATTTTGGAGGCTGCTTCTTTCCCTAACATTTAGATGAAACTTTCATCCAGTGATGCATATTATAATCTTCTCTAGGCCATATTAATTTTTGTTCAAAACTAACTATAAGAAGTATATAGGCTCCAGTACCATACTCTGTCTGCATTATGGAACTGCTATCTGCTCTAGTATTCCTTCCCGAAATTGGGATCAAAATATGACTGAATTCATTGGGATGCTGTGAGGATTCCCTGAAGAAATCTATGCAAACATTTAGAAAAAGCTGTAACTCACACTAAGTGCTCAATAAATATTTTCAGTATGTATGTATGTGTATATATATGTATGTATACTGGGGTTTGACCTCAGAGGCCTTGCACTTGCTAGGCAGGCACCCTACCACTTGAACCATGCCCCAGACATTTTCCTTTTAGTTATTTTTCAGGAGGGTCTCAGGTTTTTTTTTTTTGCCTCCTATCTATGTCTCTTGAATGACTGGGATTAGAAGAGCACACTATTTCACCCAGTTTTTGATTGAGATAAGGTCTTGCTAACTTTTTGCTCAAGTTGACCTTGAACTGCAATGCCTCTGGTCTCTGCCTTCCAAGAAGCTAGGATTACAGACACGAACCTCTGTACCTGGCTGTGAAAATCAGTTTTTTAAGAAAAAAATGAATTGGACATTAACCTTTGACCCAAAAGTTCTCTGGAGCATGCTTTTGGCTCTCTGTTTTGGAACAGTTTAGCATCAAAAGGCTGACCATTTAAATTATGGGTACTTCAGGTTGAGTAACAACCTTTGCGAAAATGTAATTCAAAAGATTTCACCTCAGTGAAAACACTGTTTGTGTATTTTTTTTCCTAAACAAATTTAAGTAAGAGAAGACTCTCGTTACCCTGAATGACAGAAGGTAGAGGTAGGGCAGCAGACACTTGGTTTAATCCATATACACATTCAGTTAAATGGAGCAAAAAACCCAGTTGATAAACTAATTCAGAGGAATTCTTTTACAACTGTTACTTTTGTATCTAAAGCTCAGATATATATATAAACACTCACATATATATACCTTTATGTGAACTGACATGGAAAGATTTCCCTCAGATAACACTAAATAATTTTTTAAAATTTGTGTAGTTTGAGTTCATATTTTGAGAAGGCCCAAAAGTAAATAGGCATGTATATTCTAATTATGGATCCTTGATTTGCACATAAAATATAGAATAACATGCACAGGGGAGTGGTGATAAATATTCAGCAGCTGGTTTACTGGAGAAAACAGTTCCTTGACTTGCAATGTTTGCTGATTCCCAAGATAGAAACACACCCATCCCGGATAATTTCAAGTTATCAAAGTGACATCATCTCAGTTTCAACATCTTTAAAATTTCAGTCAGCTTTTGCAAGCTGGCTCAAACCTCCTCCAGAATACTTCTGACTTACCTGCTGCTATTAATGGTGGTTACCTATGAGTGTATGAAGCCTTCTTATTTTGTACAACTTTCTGTACCTTTTGGATTATCTACTATTATGTTCTTTCATTATTTCTTTAAATTCAAAATGATATAAGTTTTGCTATCAAGCTTCTTTTTCTTTAAATCCAGTTTTAATGATGACTTTAAGGATGTCACATAGATCTTAATAAGGGCTCTTCCTATTGTACAATGTTTATTTATATGCCAAAAAAATGAACCAGGTCTGTTACCGTTTTTAACTGTAGGATATGTTGCAGTACTATTTGAATTTGACAGAAGCAAACCTAAAGGGGGAATCCAACTGGAAGCTGGAATATGTCCTGACTCAGACCTATGGCATCGAGGATTTGCAGCCACAGAGTTTATATGGATTAGCTAAACAATTTTCAATGCTAGGCAGCCAGCAGTTCACAAAATATTACAATTATTTCTTTGTGAGTTACGACAGCAGTGCAATTTGTGATAAGAAATGTAAGGCCTTGCAAATTTGTGCAATTATGAATCTTGATCATATTTCCTATGTGGATTGCCTCAAACAATATTATATAAAGAACAATAACTAGTATTTCAGTTTGTGTTCATGGAAAATGTAACATTACCCTGCTTCTAAGATCAGTTTGTGGGAATTGTTATGTAAATCTTTGTGAATTACTTAATGGGAAAACAGAATTACTGTTTCTTTTTTGTGATGCCCAAGTGTAGATATTTACAAAACTCTAAATTCTTAAATGTCGAATATGTTTAAACTGCCCATTAATGTTTGGATGTAACTATCCTATCTTCCAAGTTTATATAATTATGTCTAATTTATACCCTTGTTGAAATTGTCATTTATACAATAAATCAAATGATTTCTTCTGAGTGTGATGAAGTATTTTTAATATGGTAATTTTCAGTCTTTTAATTCACTATTGTTAAAATCTCCTTGTAAAACTATGGTTCCAACTGTTTACATTTTATGTGTAACCCGAGGTTGATATTATTTACACATACTGTCTACTCCTGGGAAAACACCAAGCTCTCATTAGAACCATATAATACATCATGGGACATGTATTTCCTAGCTTTCTGTGAGTCTTTAGCACTGCTAACTTTTAAGGATGAGCATATCATAAGTTGCACTTATTACAAAGTTTAGCACAGATATCCCTTTTCACATAATGGGGTTATATCTTCATAAACCCATTGTAAATTGAAAACTCTCACATCTGCCTTGAGTAATTCTTTTAGAAAATGAGTTTTATGTCAAAAGCAGAAAGCTAAAACATCACTGGATTAACAGCACAGGTTATGTAACTGGACTTTCCTGCTAAAGAAAATCTATGAAACTTGCTCTCATCGTTAATGTAATCAGGTAATAAAGTTGTGGGAGAAGAAGGCTGTATCCTTCACATTTCTTTCACTATGGAAGCTAACTATAAGTTCAAAAAGTACTGAATCACTGTAAATAGCACATTGAGTTAGTTCTCTGATGCCAAGTTGAAGATGTAATTCTCTAGTGCTTAGCAATTTAGTTCTAGAGATACATTTAAGAATAAAGTCTCAAAAACATATAAGAGTTGTGTATACAATGTCTAGGGCAGCATTGTTGAAAACATTAAGAAACAAAACCTGTAAAAAAATTTAAATATGCATCAACTGGAAAATGGACAAATGGTTTATTCAGAATATGGAAGGTCATGCAGAACTTCAAATGAATATTAATGTCACAAGTGTAATAATTATAAATACAAGTATAAATATAATAGGGGAATTTAACTGTGTCGTGACTATGTAGATGTTTTCTATTTTTCTTTATACATTTAGTATATATTAAATATTATATACTCATTCAGCCACGGTGGCAAGTGCCTATAATCCTAGCACTTAGGATGCTGAAGCAGGAGGATTGCAAGTTCAAGGCCAACAGGGTCTGCATAGTGAAATCCTGTCTTAAAACACACACACACATATATGCATATCTATCACTTTTTATAAGGGGAGGTAGAGAGCTACTCTTTAAACATGATTACATTGGTTCTTCTATAGTTAATGATTTATGGATAAAGCAAGGAGAAATTTACAGGGTTTGAAGTTGTCTAAGAGGGGATTGTAGTGCTGAGGTGGTAGCAGTGGAGAAGAGCAACCTGGTTTGTGATATGTGTTTTGGAAATACAAACCACAGGATTTGTTAGTGACTTGGATGTAAAAGTTGAAGCAGAGATTTTGGCTAGAGCAACTGGTGGATGGTGGCATGAGGAGGAAATTGGGTTTACTAGGAGAGGAAAAGTCTGATGGGGAGGGTGTGAAGGGCAGAGTGACAGATTAAGAATTTTATTGTGTGTTACAGCTAGCCCAGACCACTCAGAAATTCATCTAGCTCATTAAATGCTTTTCTATTACAATTGTCTCTATGTTGAGGACATTCAAGTTTATTTTTAAAAATAAATTGGTAACCTAAGAAAGAAGCCAAACCAACCCAGACTCACTTCATTTCCATAATTGTTTCTACAACATTTAAAATTGTTAGGAAAAAATGTCACTAATAGAAGTGGGTCTTTTGCCTGCCTCCTTGCTGGTACTATGCTGCCTACATTATGCTAGGACATTGAAGGATGGGGAAAATAGTATTAATTCAATTATTGATGACATACCTATTCTTTTGAGGAGAATGGAATCCCTTATATAAAATTCCCTACTTAGATTCCTTTTCTTTGGAGACATTTTGCGTCTCCAAAGAAAAGCATGGTGCAAGTAAACCACTCTATGGAGCACTAGAAGAAATAAAGATCTTACCTATACCACAACTTCAATTTTCTAAGGTAGACATGAAATTTGTCTTTAAAATTATCCTCATTAAATGTTAATATGATTCGGCATCCTTTATTAAGAGAATGAATTTCTTTCTATAATATGTACCTATTCTTTACATTAAAAAATTTAAACCCATATAAAACTTCTTCATCTTTTATTATAAAAATTCAGGTTTACAGTCTACTGTATACATAATTCATTCCTGTTTATAAGTTTTGCCCTCAAACTGTAAGTACTGCTGATTTCAGAACTGTCTGTGAATGTCCCCTGACCTTTGTCTGGTGGGCCTGGAGGATTTCTTTTCATACAAGACCAGTAAGTGATGTGGCCTTCTTGATTCCTGTAGCCTTTTCTCTGCTTCTGTGCAGAATCCTACATCACCACCCCATATTCTAACTAATTAGAATGGATTGTTAGTTTCTAAACACAAATGCAATCACTCACATCTTCACCTTTGCTTATTTTTGATTTTCCCAGTCTAAAGTACTCTATTTCTTCCTCTGCTAAAATATTTTCTGACAGATCCAACGAATAAATAACCTGTGTTGTTAAAACTGCATTCTTTAAAGACAGAATTAATCTTTTCTCTCCTGAGGCTGCTGTAGCACTTAACTTAGAATCATAGCATCGACACACCTCCTTTTCTCTTTTTTCCTAACTTCCACTGATTGAGAAAAAACAAAGACCCTGTTTTATTCAAATTTGTATACTTATTGGTTAACATTGTGCTTAATAATAGATAAGTATATTGGTCTGTTTGACATAATAAAATTCCCAGAGTATGTGGCTTAAACAACAGAAATTTATTTTCTCATAGTTTTGGAAGTTGGAAGTCCAAGATAAAGATTCTAATACTGTTAGTTTCTTGTTTCTGGTGAAACAGCCTTTGCTTTCTTTCTCTCACAGCAGCTGCCTTCTCTGTGTTCTCATGTGTTATTTCCTCTGTGTACTGAGAGAGAGACTGAGAGAAAGATAGAGAAAGAAAGAAGAGAGAGAGAGAGAGAACGCTCTCTCTCTCTCTCTCTTCTTAGGAGTATATCATTCCCATGGAATTAAGGTTCCACTCTTTTGTTCTTATTTAATCTTAATTACCTCCTTAAAGACCCTATTGGCAAATATAAGCAGATTGGAGGCAAGAGCTTCAGCATATGAATTTGGACGATAAGCTTTTTGTTGTTTTTGAGACAGTACTTCACTTTGTAGTCCAGGCTGGCCTGGAACTTGAGATCTTCCTGCCTTAGCCTCCAGAGCGCAGGGATTATAGCTGTGTAACACAATGCCCAGCTAACATCAAACTTTATAATAAATTTTATAACGTTTTCATTAGTATATAATAGTTGCACAAGGAGGTTTGTTATGACATTTCCATATATGTGTACAATGTAACTTGGTTGGGTTCTATTATTTTCCCTCTTCCCCTCTTCTTAAAATCACTTCAGCAGGTTTCAATATTCCATATTCATATATGTGTAGAAAGTACATCAACTATTTCATTCCCCTTTACCATCTTCATTTACCCTTCCCCTCCCATTAGGACCCTTTCCTTAACATGACCTGTTTTACATTCCTGTCCTTCATTGTTTGTCTTTTCATTGTTCAGTGGGGTTTTTGCCTTGGTATTTTACCTGTAAATATTTTGTGCTGTAATCACTCTAACCCCCATATTACTCTTTTCTACCCTTTCTCCCAACCCCATATTGTTCAACAGTTTTCAATGTGCTTCATTCTGTCTTGTTCTTAAGCAGATGTGATGTATTTCAATATTCATTCTTTACATTCTCTTCTTCTTTCCCTCCTCCTGTCTCTAACAGTCCCAGTTTTGGAAGCATATTATATATATATATATATATATATATATATACATATATATAAATATCCTGATAATGCTTGTATTTATATTTGGATCTATCTTCCACATATGAGAGAAAACATGAATTTTGTCTTTCTGAACCTGGCTTACTTCACTTTAACATGATGTTCTCCAGTTCCATCCATTTACCTGTGAATGACAAAATTTCATTCTTCTTTATGGCTTGGCTGTTGTGAATAGAGCTGCAATAAACATGGGCATGCAAGTGTCTGTTGTATCCTGACTTACATCCTTTAGATATATGCCTAGGAGTGGTATTGCTGGGCATATGGTAATTCTAGTTTTAGTTTTTTGAGGTATCTCTATACTTCTTTTCATGGTGGCTGTATTAATTTACATTCCCACCAACAGTGTATGAGGGTTCTTTTTCCTCTGCCTCCTCACCAACATTTGTTGTTTGTGTTCTTGATGATAGTCATTCTAATAGGAGTGAGGTAGAGTATTAATATGGTTTTGATTTGCATTTCCTTTATGGCCAGGGATATTGAGCATTTCTTAGTGTGTTTTTTGGCCATTTGGACTTCTTCCCTAAAAAGGTTGTGTTCAGTTCATTTGCCCATTTCTTCATTGGGTTATTGATACTTTAGGAGCTTAGTTTTGTGAGCTCTCTGCAAATTGTAGTTATTAATCCCTTGTCAGGTGTATGGCTGGCAGATTTTCTCCCATTCTATGGGCTTTTTCTTCAGGTTGGTGACCATTTCCTTTGGTATGCAGAAACTTTTCAGTTTCATATAGTTCCATTTGTCAATCCTTTCTCTTAATTGCTGAGCTATTGGAGTTCTATTTGGGAAGTTACGGCTTATGCCTATATTCTTTCCCACAGTAGTTTCAAGGTTTCATGCCTTATGTTAAGGTCTTTGACCCACTTTGAATTGATATTTGTACAGAGTGAAAGACAAGAATCTAGTTTCAGTCTTCTACATGCAGATATCCAGTCATCCCAGAATATAATAAACTGTGTTGAATAAACACTGTAATTCAATTTGTATCATCAATTAAATGATACATCTAACTTATGTTATAAATGTAAAGTACACAGCCCATGTTCAGAACATAGTGATTATTATGAAAATTTATGTGTTAATATTATTTTTGATATTATTAGATAATAGTATTAC